GGCGGTATGGCTGACTTTGGTTATTTGAGTTAGTTTGGTCGTTCAACTTACTTTGCTGTTCGGCTTGCTTTGGTCGTCCGACAGACTGTGGGCGTCATGGTGATTCGCGGCGAAGTAACGGTGAGCGTCTTCGAAATTTTGAAGTACAGATCTTGCTAGTGTACGTTCTTTATTATTTAAATAATAGTTTAAAAATAAATAAATAAACGAATAAAATTAAATAAAATTATTTTTGTAAATTTTGGAACATTAAGTGCTATGAAGTAATATTTAATTCGAGCTAAAAAGACGCGATAAATATTATCCAATAAAATAGTTTATTCATTGAATGATCGTCTTCAGCGATGGAACAAATGTGACAAGTTTCATTTTGTTATATTGATGAACCATGCTGATGTTCGCACGAAAAAATAATGAGTTTTTTGAAGGGAAATAATGGAAAGAGAACAGAAGCGTTTTTATTGAAATATCAGGGAATGGTTCTTGTATGAGAAACAAATTTACTTAGGTTTGACCAAGAGTTCTGATTACGGTGTTTAAAGGACTTTGTCGGATAAGGTTATCTATCAAGAAATCAAAAAGCGTATATACCAGAGCTGGGCAAGTACAGACTTTTTCGAGTACGAGTACGAGTACGAGTACTGGCCCTAGAGTACGAGTACATTAGAGTGAATTTCCTAAGATCTCATTAGAAAAAATTTAATTGATAGTTTTAATAATGATGTATTCATTTTGAGATCGAAACATTGTTAAAGTCATGAATCAAAATATGTTTATTCTTATTTTTTTCATCATAAAGTTTTAAACAATCAAATTACAACAAAACGCTATTGCTTTTAAGAAAAGTAAGCAAGCATACATTTTTTGAGGTTAACGATGCGCGATGTGGACGCATAATAAAACCACTTTTAGAAAATATTCTTTCAATAGGAGCTGATGTAGCCGGTACTGACAAGTATTTTAGACTAAGTTCATATAGAGAAGGATAAAGATTTTTCTTGAGAAAAAGTAAATTATTTTCATTGCTTCTTTCCGATAGAAAAGCATCAAGCTCCACCAAAACTTTCGATTTGTCATCAAATGAAATCTTTTTTGTATCATTTAAGTAAGGAAAAAGACATTTTCTTTTTGTTGTTGGATCAACATGTTTGGTCATCATATCAGTAATATCTTGTTCAGCTACGTTCGACTCATCAGCTCCTTCTGGTTGTGATACAGAAAAATTCGATTTTGAGAAAAAACGAACAAAAGTACTGTAAATTGTTTCGATAACACGTAACTTTATCGCAAATTGAAGATTATCGAGCCATAACAACTTAAAACGTGCATCTAGAAGTGGCGCAATTAGAAAGATAGGATCAGAAAAACGTTCAGACATGGAATAAAAAGCAAATGGTACATCAATTTCGAAATGACGAAGAAGTCCACTAAATCGAGCTTTCAGAGATGAAAGAAGTGCTTCACACACAGATACAAGAGATAAATTTGAAGAAGCATGTTCACGCTCAAGATCAAAAAGAATACCAAGAATAGTAGGTGCAACAAGACTAACAGTAGCATAAAATTCACCTTGTGTTAGAACAGTAGCTTCATTAAACAGTTCAAATAAAGAAACAAAATCTTCTAAAATTTTTCTATCTTTAGTATTAAGAATAAGATTATTTTTTTTTAAATCAGTTAAAATGGAGTTAAGAATGAAGGATGGAATACTAATAACTTTCTTCACAGTTTGAAATTGTGAATTCCATCGAGTTCGATTAGCAAGAGGAATACTGTACTTTTGTTCTTCTAAACGTTCTGCAAATGATGTACTTGTATGTGCAAGTTTAGCAAGATCAGCTACTTTTTTAAGAGATGATAATGCACCACCAGCAGCTTTAATTCCATCATTAACAACAAGTTGAAGACAATGACTAAAACATGGTAATCGTAAAAATTCTTGTTCAGCTGGTGTATTAAGTGTTGTTCCATATATGTCATCATCTACTTCTTCTGCTTGTAATTGACTATTTTCGTACAATTCATTATTATCACTATCTTCATCACTTGTTTCACGTTCAGATTGATCATCATCAATATCATTAAAATATTCTTCAAAACCGGGTAATACAAGATTATCAAATGCAGCTTGATTATTACTTGCATTATCAGTAACTATTCTAACAAGTTTATCCTTTAAATTGTACATTTGTATAACACGATCAAATTCAGCAGCAAGTTTATCACCAGAATGTTTACCTTTTAGACGTTCGAACGAAAGAACATAAGTTTTATATTGATCATCAATAATTGTGTGAAGTGTAATGCCAAAATAACTACGCATTCTACGATCACTCCATATATCAAGAGTGAGACTAACATATTTTGATCGATTACAAATGTCCTGTAGCTTTTTTATACATTTTTTATACATAATAGGAAGAAACGAACGTGTAATATCACGTCTATTAATCATTTTGTACTTTGGATCAACATCTAACATAAAATTCATAAACGATTCATTGTCGACTGTCGATAATGGAAGACTCATATTAATAATAAGATTTCGAATGAGACTGTTGGTGAGAAGCTGTTGACGTTTATTATTGGTCGAATCTAAAATTAAAAAAAAGTTTCTTATCTTTGTATCTTTATAGAATATGCAAAATGAAATCATAGTAACATATTTCTCTTTATAAACGGAACAAAGTTTATCGCCTCAATTCTAGTCTTTTCTCACTATTTTTTTTCTAATTCAATTACGATGTAATTTAAGATAGGTGTATACTTACATTTTTCATTCTCTCGATTAAAAATATTTATAATCTTCGGCTGATTTTGTTCATTCACCACCTGGTCTTGTTTACCTTTCCATTCATCAAATGCTAATCGATGTTTAGTTTTTATGTGCTTTAAAAAATTCGAAGTTGTTTTATATGTATCTGTAACTGATAATGAACAAATATTGCAGCAACAAGTCCATCGATTCTTTTCAATATTAATATTCAATTTTGAAAAAAATTCTTGAATAACAGGTGGTCCATTAACATCATCATTTACCACGATGACGGATTCTGATTCACCTTTTGTAATAATCGAATCTGTATCCATAATAAATATAAATAATTAAATAAATGTTCACAATAGTAAATCAAATGATTGAGCTGTAATAATGCACGAACAACGAATGTATTTTGTTCAGTAAGAATGAATTATGCATACAAAAGGAAAGAAAAACTGTATAATAATATACAAACACTCATTGGTTACTAATTAAAGACTATATTACTAGTGAAGGAGAATAAAAAAGAAAGAGTACGCCAGTTGTTAAATCCTGGGAAGACGTCTTTATATTTATCTGAATACCCCAGGTCGATCAATCCGATAGTCGGATCTTATCGGATCCGATAGGTGTCCTACAGGTATCCGATAGAATAATATCAGATTAGACAGGAATTCGTGAAACGGAATCACGTCGGATCCCGTCAGTAGTCGGATCCGATCGGATCCTATAAGAGATCCGACAATTGCATCCGATAGTATTCCAAGATCGTTATCTAGTACTGATAAAATGAATGCTAATAAAATTTGCAGCAATTAAGATTCATCGGACGGGAATCCGACGTGATTCCGTTCCACGGATTCCTGTAGGATTTTGTCGGCTGGTCGGATCTTACAAGATCCTATGAGATCCGGTATCGGATTGATGGACCTGGGCGTATATAAAGAATAAAAAAAAAGATATCAGTTGTGTATTTCATCCTCGGGAAAGATACTATAATTTTATCAAGCATCATTTTAATATAATGCATAATTATTTAGAATTTCGAGTACTTAACTTTCGAGTACGAGTACGAGTACGAGTACTGATCCTTCGAGTACGAGTACGAGTACGAGTACTGACCCTTCGAGTACGATTACGAGTACGAGTACCATCAAAATCGTACTCGAGTACGAGTACTTCGAGTATTTTGCCCAGCTCTGCTATATATATATCAGCTGAGTTTGCCAAAAAAATTTTGACGTTGAAGAACAGAAAAAAAAAGAATATATATAATGGCGAATATATACATTTTTTTCTGTTCTTCAACGTCAAAACTTTTTTGGCAAACTCAGCTGATATATATATATAGGAATCGTATTTTCTCTTTTATTTGTTGTGTATTTTCTTCTTGATAATGGTGACAGTGATTACCGAAAGCTTGAATTAAATTAAAAAAAAAAGCTTCAAATTTTGAAAAAATTCCATGTATTTTATAGCAGTTATTGACTGTTTTTATTCATTCTATTATATTTACTGCTCTTCCTAATGGATCGTATCACTTCTAAAAAATTTCTTAAATGCTTGTTTTTTCTTTTTTGATTATTTAATCGACGACTGGCACTTTTCTTATTGTCATATCTCGTGAATCATGTTTTGATTAGTATGATTTTTAAGATAATTCGCTTAAAATCATAGAACATTTAACTATAATTTTTAGTTCTTTTCTCGATAATTTTTTCTAGCAGTTTCAGCTTTAGTTACAGTAACTTTTCTCTCTCTCATGGTCCTGATTCTGGTTGCGCACATTTCTATTACGAACGTGAAAATCAACATTGATTTCGACTTTTAAGATTTTCTCGTATTCTTCTATTTTGAGAAAACAAAATTCTGTACTTCAAGCGTTAAATATCTCGTATTAAGGCCCCCCCCCCCCACTCAAGACTCGATCTCAGTCCAGGTACGTTCAAATGGGCTGAAATTTGGAGCATATGTTGGGTCTGAAGTGGGGAGGCTGTGGTAAAATTTTCAGCTCGATACCCTGATG